AATGCACAAAAAACAAAATTACCACTAACTAGCAATGATACTACTACTAATAATAAAAATATAATATAAAGGATTGTGCAGGAATAAAGAAAGATATGTTTTGTTTTAGAGACAGTTGCTTATCAGAATTTGACATTAGGAATTAGAATTTGCCTATTTTCAATGCAAAACAATCGTAACAGATTATTAACTGTAAAGTATCAGAGTGCAGACAAACACAGATGTGCAAAAACAGCTGAATTTTTTTCGTGGTTAAAATGGGTAACAACAGAAGTGGTTGCTCAGATTAGTAATACAGATGAGTAGTAGTGCAAATGATTGTTAACAGCATTTTCATTCAGTAAGCATTAAGAATTGCACTTTTGCAGCGAGGCAGCCCCGACTCTAAGCAACCTGCCCCTTGATATTCATACTGCAAAACCACTACTTCTCCTTTTGTAATTACTTTATGAATTATTTTTAACAAAAACTTCTAAATACTGAAATGTGCTTTGTCCTCTTTACTTTGTTAACAGAAACAGTAACATGTGGCTCAAACCAGTGTTGCTAAACCCTAAATTAGTCAATGTAAAGAATTATTTTGGGGTGTATCACATCAAAGATTGAAACGTAATTTGCCCTTTTAAAGGAAATTTGACCAAAAAAATTTTTTTCAACTGACTTCAATAAGAATTTTCTAGGTTTTTTTTTTTTGTTGTTTTTTTTTTCAGCCATGAGTAACAGGTATTTGATGTATTTTACCAGAAACTGTCACAACTGTAGATTACTAATTTGTTTGGTCTTTATTTTAAGGAAAGAAACCTTTTTGACAGATCCTGTACTATTTCATGTTTACTTAAGATTTAGCAAAAAAGTAAAATCCTAAGTAAAAAAAAACAATAGATATTAAAAAATGAGGTAATACATACTGGCCGCTGCTCTTCATATAAAAATTTTCTACTGAAATAAAATCTTGAAAATTACATTGTGCACCACTGCATGTTATGTTGGTCCTTGGAGCATGTGTGTTACTATTAAATCTAATCCAGTGATTACTTTCAGATTCACCAAAATCCATCCTGTTCATTTCATAGAACATTTTGGTAAAAGCCATGAGCACATGCACATAGGTGGGCACACACACTAGCAATCAGATTATATAATTTTGGCAGTAAGTAATAAAAATAACAAAACATTTCTTGGATTTATATTTTACCATGACCAACACAATATGCTAAAATTTTGGCTACAAAAGTTGTAACGTTTGCAACAACAATGAGGCAAAGAAGGATGTAGGCTTACATATCTGCAACTGACTGGAAACTTTTTCATACCTCACATATGCACACACACAGACACACACAGACAGATATGATGAGCACTGCGAGTTAGCATAAAATTGTCATGTCAGGATCATGTGATTCAACTCTTCCTTTTACCAGATCTATAGGATGAACTTGTTTTATTTTACATACATGAGCACAAACACCCACCTGTCAACAGCTGCATTTATGGACAAAACATCTGCTTGGAGAAAACAAAGAACAAAAAGAGGACTGCACACAGATGTACACAGAGTTTGTAAAGCTACGGAATGGAAACAAAAGTGCTTCAGCCTTTCTGAGCCTCTCAGCCTTATTAGCAGAGTCTCCCGGGGCTCTCTAACACACAAACACACGCACTCGCACAAAGAAACCGAGCTCCAGTTCTGTGGCTATTACAGTTAATAAAACCCATCCTGTGCTGCGGTTCCAAGATGATTAACCCTGTTTATCACGGTTAGCTCGGCTAACACAAACACACACAAATGCTCACGGAGCCAGAGAAAACAGCATTAAATAAGCTGTTAAAGTAGCAATGGATACTCTTTGTAGTTTAATATTTGGCTAAAGTTTCAGACATTCAGTTTTTGACTACAGTCTGTTCAAAGTAGACTATTATTTTATGTCATAATGCATTTAAAAATGACCTTATATTAAAAATGTTTTTCCACATTTTTGAAATATTTAAAAAAAGGATTGAACAAATTAATTCAACAAATTAATTCATCAGTTTTTATTATAATTTTAGGTGGCATTTTTGGAAATGGTATTTAATTTGACACAATCATCAAATTACAAGGAGAAAAGCACAACAGAAATTTCAAAAGCCTGACAATTAATCGGATCGAGCACATAAATACTCCCCAATGCGTCCTTCCAACTCATTTCAGGAGGCCATGGGGG